TATTATAGGAATGAAATTGAAGAGTGATTTTGGAGAATAAATATTGAGGACACAGTGGTTATGACAATAAGTTTTTATTTTATGTATGAAATTTTCTATCGATATTACAGCCCGAATATACAGTCATAATTACGTGTAATGCGTGCGGCTTTAATTACAATTGTACGTTGCTACATCGTCAACAAGCTGAAATTATGGCTGTGTCGTATCCGGAAGGTACGGTTGAACACGTGGCAAGTTTCAAACATTGGATTGGATATAGTTCAGGATTTCATAATTTCAAGAGTTATAACAGGTGGTATTGGACGAATGTATCACACATCATCCCACGGATGTAATGTTCAACATGCTTTTCGGCGGACCAGCTGCGTCATTCGGCATTCCGCTCGGCACTTCGCCGCTGCATAATGCCACGTAATTAACAAAATGGTATGCCGATTAATAAAACGTGAACGCATGATTACCCAGGCTGGCATGTATCGGACGGACGGACGGATGGATTCGCAGCAGAACAGATTACCCGATTCGCCGAAATTCAATAGCCACTGCAGTTTGACGCCCATTGTTCGCTCGACGGCCAGATGCGTTAATTAACAAAAGGCCGTTAATGTATGAGCGTCTATCGCAGATGCGATTTTCAACCGATAACGATGATAAACGAGTTCGAATAATCCGACTCTCACTCGTGTGTGGGATAGCGTAATAGTCCGATAGACGACAATCGCGGTATTTTCCTCGGACATTTCGTTTTTCGATATTATAACGTGTATTTAACGTATAGCTATCATTACAGTATGTCAAGTGTCAGTGTGCGTCAAGAACAATGCGTTTTCTTAAAGTAAAAATTAAAACTAAATATTTATTAGTCTCGGTATAGTCTAAAGACTTAGGATCTCGCACGGAATGCAAGAGATCCGGGTTCGACTCCCGGCCGAGGCAATATTTTTCACAATAAGTTTATTACAGTTTTTTAAGATTTGGGAAATTTTAGGGGAATTATCAGATTGATTGTGTGAATCCGATAATTTCATCGGCTCGCAATTTAATTCTGAAAAATTAATTCAATTTAAATGAATGTATTGTATATTATATAGTAGTTCATCATCTTAACACTCGGGACGGTAAGGCGTTTCGTATTTTAAGTCTAAATATTTTAATTAGACACAAATATAGTATGGGTATTAATGTTATGTGGGTAATAAAATATTATTTCTTACTTTAGTGTGAAAATTATTTTATCAAGATGACATATTAAGACGTTATTGTTATATATAAACTAATTTTAGGTAAAATGTATTTACTGCAAATATATGTACATAAATATATACCGCAGCTATTATTTGTAATAATTTACAATTTAATTTAATTTAATTTAATATATTATACTTCTTAATATTCTTATATAATAATTCTTTGAAAATGAATTATTTCTAAAAATTGACTTATAATATTACTTATAAATTAAAAATTATTGCAGTTTTAACAGTATTAAGAACACTTTCAAGAACAATACGTTTAATTGAAAAGATTAATCAAAAAATTCTTAAAAGAGAAAATTTAAATAATCTGTAAAATTTTATATGAAATCGCGTTTGTATGAAAGTTTGTATAAAAGTTTTGCAAGTTGTCTAAACTTTCTTCTTTTTATATAAGAATTTCAATATTTTTATGAATTCTGATATATGTATTTAAAAAAAAAGAGAGTAAGCGAAAATATAATTTCCGAGATTTTCTCTCGGGATTTTTCTCAAAGTTTTCTTTACACACTTCACTTTGGCGATGCTTTTAAAGAAGAGCGAAGACCGATAAATTTGTTAATCAAGCGGCATTGGTAGCTTTTCGAATGTAGACGACGAGTGCCAGAGTTAGTGCTCGTAATTTGCGGGGGCGTTGGAGTATGAATGAGTCCCCACCATTCTCTCTCTCTCTCTCTCTTTCTCTCAACCATTCCATTCTCGCCAGTCGACCACCCCGTCGCGTCGTCTTTTACCAGTCGTACTCATCCCCTCCATATTTTCATTTTTTTCTTCTTTTCTCTCTCTTCCCCTCCCTTTTCTCTCTCCTTCATATCATCATTCTTCGTTAGTCTCTCTTCTTCACACCCACACCAACCGAAAGCAACTCATATCAGGGGTCGGTTCTCTCTCCAAGTTCCGCGCTTCTTTCGGTTAGTTTTCTCCCGTGAGTTGTACGCGCGCATTCTTTCGTGAGGACCGGCTTCCGTGTCGTACGGTCTTTAGGCTCTACAGTCACAAGAAACAGAACTAGCGTTGTGTTGAAATAAGAACTCTTGGCATCCTGTGGATAGAACGGAAAAGCTGTTCATCATGTGCCATCGCCTTTCAAGGTAAGTTATATATAATGAATAACATTTTTTTATTTCTATTAGATCGATAAGATAAATGTGGTACTTAAATTATTTTAATTAGACAATCCATTTTTTTTATTGCTCCTGTTCAGTTGAAATATATTTTTACTATTATTGTATAACATATGTATAGGTAGTCTCATACATTTTATAACATATTAGCTAATAAAAATTGTTTGATAAATAGTGCACTTTAATATATTGTAACTCACATAAAGTACTTGAAAGATGATCCTCATTAAATAATATGCAATTCAAAGTCTTTTTATTTAAAATAGCCAGTATTCTGTTCTCAGTCAGTTACTTTTGCAATTGTTGCAATAATTTAGTTTATATATATATATACTAGATCTTTTACTGTATAAATTTCACTACTGCCGTCTTAAAATTGTTCAAACTCCGATAACGTCCTATTTTCAAAGTGCTGTTTAATTTATTTGGTAGTAATTACTATACATGGAAAAAAGCAAATGTATTTAACACAACAATAAAAAATAATTTGTTTCAACGATTATGTTATGTACAGATATGAAACATTGACATAAATTTTGCCTCGAATCAATCTGACTTTACTAGTATGATGTTCATGTGTATTTGTTATGAGAAATAATGTCACTCGTTATTATTAAGGAGTCGTTATAAAACGTGTTTTACATTATTCATTTGTCGTTTCTACATGCCATCGCGCATCAGTCCATCGCTCGCAAATCGCTTATTCCTTCAACTCATTCTTCATTAAGACGTCCAGCGTTTAAATAAATAAATGAATGAATTTTAAAAAATCACAAAATCTCAATCATTCCTTATAAATGTGCGTTACTAAATGATTTATATTAGAATCTAAAAAGTCGTTTGGCTATGTTATGTTAGCGTTCATTATGCTCGTGCATAAAAATAATATGTAAAAGACAGACATTTTACGTATCTTATAAAAAATTATTTTCTCTTCAAGTTGTGTAAAATATCAGAATAAACAACTTGAAGAAGAAATAACATAGATACATTTTATTTTATTCTTTGTTTATATTATGTCAGCAGTATAAAAATAAGAAATTAAAAGTAACATTTCAATTAAGTTTAACAAAAATTACAACAATTGATACTCTTACATTTTTCATACAGCAAAAAAATTAATTTATACAATTAATTTGATATTTAGATATATTAATTTCAACGCGTTATTGTGTTTGTTTCATCTAATTTTATATCTCAGAAATGATACGTGCGTATATTCGAACAAAATGACTTGTTTGCTTTTTTCAAATCGTATTATTAAAAAATAAAAAAAAGATAAAGATTACCATTGTCTTTTTCACTCATGTGAAACCAATGTCGTATAATTCATTTATATGCATATTTATGTATTAAAATCATATTATCGTTCGTATACTTTATGTAAATCTTTTTTCTTTGTGATAATAAGTATTGCTATGGCAACTATAGACATAAAAACATTTATATTATATAATCGTGATTATTATAAATTCTAAATCTGCGATAGGTTTATAGAGACTTTGAAAATAACAGTAATCATATATTTTAATTTAATTTGAAGGACAGAGATTTTAATATGTCATGCGGATTTATCAGTCAAAAATTTAATGAGATACGAAGCCACGCATGGTGAGATAAGGGGACAAAAGCAAAATTTGCCGCACCTCAGTATCGGAAGGCCGCAGGCCTGTGGTCCATGACCGGCCGACGCAGCCTCCTCCCGGTTCTACAGAGAATCGGAGTCACGTTCAGTCAGTGGCCGACTCCCGTCCGTGGAGGTGGTGCGCGTTATCGCTCCTTCGGCTCCTTTCTCAACAGTGCGCGAAAAGGAATTTTCTGATTTCTGCACATACGTCTCAAGGCTCATCCTCAGCGAGCATGACGAACGTCAGGAGCACGTGGTTAGTCAAAAAATGCTGTTTTCGTCTCTGTTGATTTTCATTGCATTAAATTCATTATTTTCCGTTTTTTTATATCTGCAATTTTTGAACGCATTCTTCAATTACCCTGTAGGTAAAGAACACTAAATGTTCGTCTGGGTTTTCTTTTTCTTCAATTCAAGTCTCTCAATTCTCAACTCTCTCTCTCTCTCTCTCTCTCTCTTTCTTATTCTCTCTGTCTCTCTCTATCTTTCTTTCTCTTAGGCTGGGAATCGATTTTCGTTTAGCCCGTTTTTATGAAGCGCACGGAAGTACCCAATTACGAAACCATTTAAAGGGAGTTTTAATTAAAGAGTGAGGTGGTTCTTGCTTGCTTTCTATCACGCCGTTCCTGTTAAAGCTGTAACACGTAATTAATAATTATGTTGTATAGAGAATGTTTATTTGAAATAATGAAGAATTACGTTAATATAATTTACATCCTTTTTGACTTCTTTTTTAATTTACCTCACTCCTTGAGGCAAATCGAGATCACATAAGAATATAGCAATATTATCAAAAACTAATATTGATATTGTAACTGGTATATACATACATATATACGTATACGTATATCCGCGTTTGCACCCTTATTCGTAAAATGATTCATGAAATTCTCGTCACAATTTGAATGCGTACTTTCTCACATGGTTTGATCATTAGCCATGTGAAAATTCCGTTTCAGAAAAGTTTCCATCTCTGCTCGCCAGCAAACGTTTATTCCAACAATTTGCACATGTTGAGAAACAGGAGATGGTCTCGTAAGTCCTGAGAGACGCGAAGGGCAGATTGGCGACATATGTGTCTCTTCATGACTGACATTTATCAAAGTGATTCGAAAAGCTTTTAGTTAGCTTATTATTTATTATATATTATGCTTATTTATATATTATATATTATGCTTTATTATGCTTATTTTATTTGTTTTCGAACAGATTAAAATAATATTATTTTTAATGACAATTTTATGTATTATAATTGCCCGTATAATATAATATTGTGTCTAACCGTATAGCAATCATAACTTTTATCATAATATCTACCACGATTATATAATATACCTTTTCTCTTTTTTTTATTTTACTTCTTTGCATATATATAATATAAACATTTATTGTACTGCCTGAGAACTGCATTTTGTTATTTATTTTTTGTTTTATTTATTTTCTCTATCTATTTTGTGTTAAGCTGCTTCAGACAATGCTTTCCTGTTATAATATTTAACAGTGACTTAAACATCACGGAAACTCCAATTAAATTATGTTACAACATGAATTATTACATGTAATAATTTACGTGAGTCATGGAAATGTATACATATAGTGTCTTTGCTTTCAATTTGCGATTTCACTTGCAGTAGTTAAAAACAATTATTGTAACGAACTTATT